TTTTTTTTTTTTTTTTTTAACATTTCGCCTTTTGTGGCCTTTCCTTGTTGCTTGGGTTCTCCTCCCCTCCCTCTCTTCGCCCTCAGGCTTGCGCAGGTGCCTGTTGCCTTTTCTCAAAGGAGGGTCATCTTAGTTGACACTCTTAAAAGGTTCTGATTCTCTTCTAATTTTTGCCTGAGGCTGTGAGGCATTTTCATTTGGGTCTCTGAAAAATAATTACAAAACCAGGAGTGCTCCCTGCTTATCAGGCACAGTATTAAGCATTTAACTCAAATTAGCTCATTTAATCTTCAGAAGGGTCTTGTGCTGTGGGTGTGATCATTATTTCCATTTTATAGGCGAGGGGGGGGGGGACGGACAAAAAACTAAACAAACAGATTGCATGAGGTCTCTAAGTGGTTCCTGGTAGCCCCAGGACTAGAATCTCAGCTTTCTGGCACCCTACTGTGCTCTTATCCACATCACTGAAACTATTGCCTCTCTGAAACTAAAAGTCTGGTAGGAACTTAAGACATGCCTCTGGAACGATGGGAGGGTAATGTTGATTGTTGATGGCGAAAGGTTTTTGACCCTGGTACCCTCAAACTCATGTTCTGCATAGCAAATGTCTGCTTACACAGTACCAATGTGGTTGTTCTTGATGCTCCCCCCTTTTTTATTTTAACATTTTGATTTTTTTTTTAAAGGATTGTGCTCACGTCTGATGTGACTTCGGTTCGTGTCACATCTAAAACCCATCTGCACCTCACACGGAAAGGTAAATATGTCTTCTGCTAAATCTTTGCCTCTTGCACAGCAGCGCTCCTGTGCTCAGCCATGAGTCTGCGTTCTCAACCTCTGCCTGCATGAGAGCATACACTAGATCCTTCTGCTCCTCCACAGTAGAATTTGTCAGAGAATTTGCATTTGAGGAACTTCATTGCTTGAGGGAAAACTAAGGTTGAGGGATTAAGGTTAAAACCTATAAAAGCCAATTTTTTGCTTTTTTTTAAAAAGAGTACATGCTACGAACTATCACTACTATTTATTCCTATTAGAAATAATCGAATTATACAATAGATTTTTATTTGTCATGTCTTGCTTTGAAGTCTGCTTCCTTATGTTTTAAAAAGATGTTTTAAGAGTATTTTTCTCAAAAAATACTACCAAAAATCTTGGAGTGTTATCCTCTGTTTAGAATCAGGTATCTAGTATGTAACATATATTACAAATCAAGGGCTCTAAATCATCCTCCTAAAATCATAGATGATATGATTCTCAGTTTGCGTATGTTCTTAGCTACATTTTCTAAGTTGTGAAATAGGTTATGTCACTAAATCCCAGTGTTTATTTGAGAGAACTCATAGTTGGCAGAGTCTTCATTATATATCAGAAGTTTTGATTTCTTCTTTTCCACAGTCATGTACAGATTATGATTTGTCCCAACCACCTACTTCAAGATAATAATTTCTGATTCCAGTCTTAAGTTTCCTATCCCACATTTCTTACTGTTTTCCCCTATAACATGTGTTACTTTTCTGCACAAACCCATTTCATCCTAAAGCAACTCTGCTTTGTACAGCTTTAGTGATAAATGTTGCTTAACCATAACTCTTGGCCTTTCTCCACATGTTTTGCAAAATGTCTTTGACTGGAATCATGTTATACTTTTAAAAAAGTTATTCCGATCTTCTTTGTAAGTTTTCTTACATTCCATTTTACATTTGAGCCCTTCCCCCAAACCTCTCACTAGATAAACCACTTCCCAATTTGTTCTCTGACCTTCAGGCCAATTTCTAGGAAGGCTGTCCACAGCTGCCTCAGGCGGGAGGCTAACTGAGGAGAAGGTTAGGTGTACATTTAGATTCTTGTTCTCCATATGATTCTAACAGAAACTCATCCACCTCCCCAGCAACACGTTCAGAAGGAAAAATGTAGCAAAATGCCTGAATCACTTCAATATATCATTCGGGTAACTTTATGAAACCTGTAAGTCCAATGCAGGCCAGGCCCATTTGTAATTGTTTTGTCTAGTTAAACATGATATTATCATGAAAAGCACAGCAAATGGTATTACACAACTTAAGAATGCAGGAATCTTTCAAACACATGACAAACAAAATGTTAAAGCACACAAGTAATATTACAAATTCCTTTTATAATTACATGTTAGGAAATGGAATTGTCATGATGATCCACATTGGAGACAGATGATGGAAGTGAATCAATCATTTATATTCTGACTTTGTTTTATGTCATGTATTCCAAAATGAGTTATTAATGTTTCCTGATTTTGAGCTTACCCACTGTGTAAAATCATTCTTGACACTTGTTCAGGCCTTATCTACTTTGTACATATACTTTCAACTCTGTACCAGACATTGCCTCTATATGTACATACATAATGCATAATCTCAAGAACAGCTACAGTTATTCCCATTTTATGGAGGAGGAAACTGAGGCTTGGAGAAGTTGTGCGACTTGCCTAAGGTTACACACATTCCAGGTACCAAAGTCAGCAGTCAAATCCAGACCCTCCTGACTTCAAAACCAGAGCCCTTTACACTAACTCACACCATCTTTCTGGTTGTATCTAGAAAAATACTATCATTTGGTTAGTTTTAACTAACTGTAGGGACACAACTTAGTATTAAGTAGACTGTGCTCTCTATATGAGGTAGAGTGGAACCCACTACTGTGCCGCTTTTAGGTAAGAAAAGTTATTATCTCAGGAGTAGCATTAAAATGTCCTTAATCCCATCTCTAGGCTCAAGCAAACAAAGTTCAAATGAAGGGAGTTGGGGGATGAAGGGAGTTGGGGTCATAACATTGGATAGCATTAAGTATTATTGTTAAAATTGGAAAATAAAGCACATTTCTATCAGTGTTTAAAATAATGCTGGAAATCGTGCATGTTTATACTACAACAAAGTGTGCTGTATTCAGGGAATAACTTAATTGATCCATGATGTGTTTACCATGGTAATTTTTTTCCTTTCTGTTTCAGCAGCAGGAATTAAAAGCGATTCCTAAAATACACACACAATCACCATGTAAATTGGAACCACATTAAGATCATAGTCATTTATGTTGTTTCCCTAAAATGATTTTCATTTGCCCCAGTATTCAACTCGCAGTGTGTAAGAGTGTTGTTAGTTCTGATTCAGGGAAGATTGAGAGAGAGCTCTCTGTGAACAGTTTTATACAGAAACTTAAGAGTTCAGATATTGAATTTGTTCTTTTCGTGCAGTTGGTTGGTTTGTCTGTCTTTGGGAGTGACTATTTGCCCATTTTAATGTATATGCCTGCTAATCCAGGAAGATAATCTGTGTGTTGCACTCTGAGGCCTCTTTCTATCACACAAGGTTGAATGTATTGCTTTCCTGATGAAAATCTTTCAGTAGTCCTGATTAGATAGGACTCTTGGTTGCAGAACTAATGGGACCATTGACGACTTTCAAACAGGCAAGTGACAGGAACATATTTTCATGTTAGAAGAATCATTCTGACAGCAGCATTGTGATGAGAGTGAAGGGGAGCCACTGTGGACCTCAGTGTCAGCATGTGGAAGCATTCCTCTACACTGACCTAACTGACTCACCGGACTAGTGTGCATTTCAAGGAACCCACATGGATCTGTGTCAGTAGAGTCTGGGGCAATAGAGTAGGCATTTCTTCATTCTCTAGTCCCCCAGCCCCCACCACTGCCAGTCTGGGGACACCACAGATTGTAGACTAGCCTCCTATTGCTGGCTGCCCATTTTAGGTGGCAGATTGGCGACAGGTCATGTGAGTGTTCATTGACTCTTCCCTTCTGGATCTCATGTCTGGTGTGACAAGGGAAGCAAGTGCCAGTGAGGCTAGACCCTTGTAGATCAGAGTGGCTCCATCTCTGGTTGCTCTGGTTCTCCAAACCTCTGCCTCTTGTCCAGCATACTTAGCTTCCATGTTCTCCATCCATGAGTTCTTTTCTTGGGTACAGTTGAACACAATGGCCCCATTGTCATTAAAAACAAAGCAAACGGAGTGGTGGCTTCAGCATCTAGGTGACCACCTTGGCAAACTCTAACTCTGCAATAGGGTACTTGCTCCCCAGGCAGCTCCTCCCCCAGGTCATTCTCATGAATGTACCCCACATGCCTAACAGAATCAGTGACCTGTCTACTTGGCAAGGAAAATGGAGTCCCTTGGTTGCTGATTCTTATGAATCTGAGGTCCTTCCAGCCAGAGCTCTCTGCACTAAAAGTTCTAATTTCAGCAGGATGGCCGACATATCTTGGTTTATCTAAAATCCTCTTCAGGCTGGGCTCGGTGGCTCAGCCTGTAATCCCAGCACTTTGGGAGGCCAAGGCGAGAGGATTGCCTGAGCCCGCAGGTTCAAGACCTGCCTGGGCAACTTGGCGAGACCTCATCTCTACAATAAACCAAAACTAGCCAGGCATGGTAGCACGTGCCTGTAGTTCCAGCTGCTTGGAAGGCTGAGGTGGAAGGATCACTGGAACCCAGCAGGTCGAGGCTGCAATGGCCGGGAGTGTGCCACTGCACTCCAGTCTGGGCGACAGAGTGAGAGTCCAACTCAAAAAAAAAAAAAAATCCTCTTCAGTTTCTGTCAGGGTCTTTATGAGCCTCTTTTGAAGGTCTCAGATGTTCAGCCACAGAACTGGAGTGGAATTTGTTTGGAGGACATGACTGACGTCACAGTCTAAATCCCCTTAGGCACATCATTTCGTGCTGCAAGTACCGGCCATTGTTACAACATCTTTCAGTCAACAGATTTGGCACATGAAGGATTTACATCCTCTGTCCCCCAAACACCTCAGTTTCCAGCAAGCCATCATATTCATTTTCATCTTATGGAAATCAGTGATCCCTCTCCCTATCCCAGCCTGCTGGCCTGGGAGGCACATCCAGACTTGGGAAACCGTTGTGTCCTGGGTCTCAAGAGTCTTGCCGCTCTACCTGCTTTCTTTCCTCCTGCAAGTAAACTTGTTTCCCCACCTCACCTTTTTTTTTTTTTAAAGCAATTCAGAGCTCAAGGTAAAGACCTTAAGATAACTTTGTATGCCTCTCCCTTTCTAGGTCTTTGCATAGGAATCCGAGGAGTTAATCTTGTGAGTATACTCTGACATCTGCCCTTGTTTCCTTCCTTCCTTCTCTTTCTTCCCAGGGTTTTAAAGTACAGGACTCCATCACCCCCACCCCCACCCCAGGTCCCTGTTGCCTTTGCAGAGTGTGTGCTCCTCTCTGCAATGAGTTGGTGGCCTTTTTTAAGAACTCAGTCAGCTCTAGTTCCAGCAATCATTGCTTGTCTACAGCACAGAAAGGCACGATTGATTCCAAGTAAGATTTTTAACCCCTTACTGAGGCACCCACAAGTCTGAATCTCACTTCACACCATCAAGTATGCCAGAAGTATTGCCTTGTTTATTCCCCATAACTTGAATTAGATCCCAGCCCCCATTCTGCCATCCCAGAGGGAGAGTTCATGTGAGTCATGCACAGGTGCCTCCCCTGCCCCCATGGAGTATGTCCTAGAACCTGGAGATTCCATGGCATCTGAATGTGAGGAACCCGCCTCTGACCTTCAGTATATCACATAGTGGTCTCTTGAAGCCTTGCAGCTGTCTGACTCAGGGCTGCCAATAGAAGCTGGGAAACCTCTTGCCTAAGGTCCAGCCTCCAGAAGAACACCCCACACAGCTGTCCCCTCAAGGATTCTACCCACTGCCTTAGGGAGCAGAGCAGTATAGCCCCCCCTCCCCCCAGGGCTGACAGATTTTTTTTTCCTTTCTGGGCTCTGGAGTGGGGGATGGTGATGAGAGATGAAAGGGAGTGGTGTCTTTTTTGCACCTTCTCACCCCCTCCTCTC